CGCGTAGCCACTTGTTGACAGTCGGCTGGGGAGCTTCGCGTAGGAGCCGCGTAGGCTCGACTTGACAGGTTGCCCGTAGGTGCGCACGTACTTCGGGCACCGCGTAGGCTCGCGTAGGCGTTTTAAGCCTGACATACACCTCGCGTAGGCCATGCCGCATGGTATTTACACTTGGCGTAGGCGCCGGCTTAGGCGCTTGATACGTTATCCGTATTACCTTTCCAAAACACCCTTTGCTCATCCGGCATTTGGTCGTGTAACAGGCACTCCCTGCCTGACTTCGCCGGTTGCCAGAAAAAGGAACGTTTCAAGTTCCCCCAAGCAGGTAGTCCTGGGTGCTCAGACATGCCAAGCGAGCCAAAGCTCCGTTGGCTTTTCACGGAGTCCTGAGAGCGCTGAGAGCCAGATCCTCGTAGCCTGTGCCCCGCAGCCCGCCGTATGCGGGCAAAGGCAGTAGAGGGCGCTTGCTGTCGGAAATATCAACATCGAAGGTCGACGCTATGTTTGCAAGCCTGGACTCCGGACCCGGCACGTGCTGCTAGGACGCTAGCGCCGAAGGCCTTACAGTGGGCTCTAGCTGACGCATCTCCGAGCCTGTGCTCTGGTGGTCCTTGCTAGCGGCCGCTTATGCGTTGAGAACTTTTTGATCGCACATGGCCTGTGTCACTTGTGTCTTGGAAGATGAGCGATTGCTTTATGGAGTAAATGTGCGGCATCTGGGCCCCAAGATGTCTATCAACACGCATCTGGCCGGCTGCGTCATTGCGAGCTCTGGATCTTGCATCGGGGAGTTGATAACTCCAGCTTCAACTAAGCCTCAACTCCTTCCCCGAGCTTGCGCTAGCTGTGCTAAATTCAGTGGCCCCGACTTTCTGCCTGTTGCGAGCGTTGACTTCTCTCTTTTGACCGCCCAAGTGCTCTGGCGCTTGCGCCACGGAAGATGAGCGATTGCTGTAGGGAGTAGCTGTGCAGTGGCGCCCGCGTGTCAAAGCACGTCCGTCGATGCCCTGTTGCGAGCGAGCGCATATTAGTGCATGGGCGCGAACTCATTTTGGAGGGCTTCAGCTGTGCGTAGCTCAGCGTGACTCCTGTCCAGGTGCTGCCTCAGCGCCGTGTGTTTGCATTGGCACTATTGCCGGGGTTCAAGTGCAATCATTCGCTTCTGAGCACCCGTGCGGTGCGCGCGCGAGCGCGCCGTGGAGCGTGAGTTCCATAGCACACCTGCATTGTCCTGCATCGCGCAGTGGTAGAATCACCGAACCCTGAACAGAGGGAACGGAAATTGCAATGCCCCAAGTGCGACTACCCCTAGAGCTTAGGGACGGGCAACGTGAGGCCAGGAGGTTTATGCCAAAAGCAGAGACCATTTCCGGAGGAAAGGAGCGGATGGAATGCACCAATGCAGAGAAAGTGGCCCTCACTTCCTGCGTAGTAACACAGCAAAAAATAAGACTTAAGAGGATTCAAGAATTGAAAAGCCTCAGGCCGAGGATGTCGGAGAGAACCTACAGGGTGAAAAACATGTATAGTGGACCTCCAGTGCGCAGCCAAAACTTGAGGATGAGGTTTGCGTCAGATCGTCCCCACCATTGTCAGGCCCCACGTGGTGCACCCGAAAAGCGGCCCGATGTAAGGCTCGCGGAACATCGCTCGAGGAATAAGCTGTTGCCGATGTGTGACTGGGCAGGACGGCCTTTGTGGACAGAAGCTAAAGAAGGATATCGGGACATCTCCAAGCTTGAGCCTCGCCAACCATCTCTCGTTTTGCAAAGGGGCTGCTGTGGAGTGGACGTGCTTCGGTGCGTGCGTGCAGGCGAGTTTTGTGACCAGAGCGGGCCGTGACTGACGAAGTGCCCAAGCGCGGCCAGCCGTTAGCTTTGTAGCGTCTGCAAGTTTGCCGCCCGGCTTCAATTGAGCCACGAGCACAGGAGTCGAGGCTAGCTGGGTCGTGCCGTGGCAGCCTATACGGACAAACCCACCACCACGTGAGCAGCGATCAAAAGTCCTCTGAATCAACTTGGTCCCGAGGTGCCAAAATTGGATTTCGCGGAAGAATTTGTGCGTAGCGCGGAAGCTCGCGAAAGCTTCCGCGGAGCATAATAGTGCAAAGTGTGTTCTTGCAGTAGGCCGCGGAAGCTTTGATCAGTTTGGCTTGTCTTTCGCATTGGAAACAAGCAGCCACCAGCAGGCAGCATTTCACTTGATTTTCCCAGAAAATCGGCTTTCACTCATGCAAGCGGGCACGCGTAAACAAATCTTGCTCGTAGTGCCTCTCACACAATGCGAGTATCTACTGCATTGACTCCGACACGCCAATCAAAAACATCTCTTTTGCCTTCTCCGCGGACTTCCGCGGAAGCAACGTCAACGGTCGCTTCGCAAACACCTCTGCCGCGGAATCCGAAGCTTGCGGAGGCTGTGCGAAGGGCTGGGCGAGCCGCAGGTGTGTCGTCATGACGTCCATTGGTGCCTAAGACTTCATCCTGAGGTTCTGGGCCCCAACGCAGCAGACGCTCGGCTTTTGGCAAGCGAAACCAACGCGGCAAAATGTGGGAAGTCTTAAGCCGACTTAAGCCCATGCGCAAAGGCACAAATTCACGAACAAGAGACGCAACATGGATGTTGGACCAAATGTTGGGCTGAGAACGCGCAAGCAACGGCGCCTCGGCGCCACACCTTGGAATCAGTTGGCCCACCCGAATGCAGCCTGAGCTCAGTGCTGAGCTTAGCTGAGCTCAAGCACGCTTACCTGATCTCAACTCCTGCACCCGTTGATACACAATTGTTTTCTTGAGCTTTCGTAGCGAAGCGCGCCAGTAAATGTAAATGCAAGCACGTGCCAACACACGAATTGCCGGGCAGAGCTTTGGATTTGCTTTTTGGAGTTTCGCCCGAGTTGCGGAGCATTGCTTCAGAATTGCGGAACATTGCGCCCGAGTTTCTCGCGAGCACTTCACCAAAGCAGCTAGGCAAAGGTTGGATTTGAGCAGAAAAAAACGCTCGACTGCCACAAGCTGTCCGGAGCACTTTTTTGTGTAGCCTGAGCTCAATGCTGACATGAGCTCTGAGCTCAAACAAGCTGCGCCTTCGCAGGCTAAGGGCCTCGTTTCGGGAAGTGTGGCTTCGGGTGTTCTCTGCCGCCTGATTACTTAAATAGAGGTGGGAATGCTTAGTGCTGAAGACTTGAGTCGTGCCGGCAGAATGGGGCTTCTGAGCTCAAAAGATGTGAGAGAGGATTTTGCCCTACTGCGGGCGCTAGCTCTTGCTCACGCCAGTAGCCCCTTGACTCAGCCTGCGAGCTAGCCTTGGCGGCTTTTCTGGCTCAACCTGTATTCTTTTAGTTGACCTACAACAATGACTGGCAAGAGAGACTTGCCAGAGAGTGCGCCATGGCAGTGCTAGGGCGTGGGAGGGCAATTGCTCCGGCCAGCCCACCTGCTCTGCCAAACTCAAGATCGACTCGCGCTGATCTTCGAGTCCCAGGAACGAAAGAGCACATGAGCAGGGCTCAAGTTCACTTTGCATTCCGATTTCGACGTGTGGTCATAAGCACCCCCCGCGTAAGGCAAGCATGTAGCGGCGTAAGTGTGTTGCGTAAGTTCAAGTAGAGTGGTTGATGGCGCAAGCTACCCCTGTGCTCGCGCAAGCTCGCGTCAGCACCTCGGCGCAAGACTTCCTTGCGACTAATATTTCAGCAGCTCGCATGCTTCATCCAGAAGAAAGGAGTCACAAGATGAAGCTCACTGAAAGTCAATTGGAGGTGGATGATGCGGTGCGCAAGTGCACGAATTGTAGCCGGATGATTGGGCTATCGCCGCCCAGGAGATACGCATCCGTGTGTACGTGAACTTGGTCCACACAGACAGATGCCTCCGATTGAGCCAAGCCGAGCTGGAAAAAGTAGGGTCTTGCAAGCTAAGCTTTGCTGAACGTTCATGCCCAATACATTCCGTGCCCCTCTGAGGAAGATACTCGTGATTCTTTTAGATGACTGTTTCCAGTGTGCCCCCCAACAATTCAAATAGAAGTGATTGCCGTTGCAAGTCGTAGCTCTCAAGCGTGCTTTGGGCCGGAAATGGGCAATATCTTCTTGAAGCAAACCGGTCTAGACAGCGAGTGGATTTAATATAATGGTTAGCTCTTGGGGTTCTCCATTCGTGGAAAGAGTTGTCCCAGTCACGAGTTGGTTTGTCCCTGGTACTCTTACCCCTGCTTCCCGGCTGTTGCCTTTCCACTTGTTTCCCTTGCGGTTGGTGATGCTTTGCTCGGACCACTTGTCTCCCCAATCGTCCCACGCCACTCCACTTGTCTTTCTGTTTGCTTGTTCACTAGTCTACCCAATTCTCCCCCCACTTGTCTCCCTGCTTGTAGCTGATCTCGGACCTCACATATTGCCTCCCTACTTGTCTCCGCACTTGTCTCCCCGCTTGTGCTTGCGCTCGGTGACTCGGACGCATACCTAGTAGCACAAAACGCACTTCGTAATTCGATCAGCGGCTGACCCGAGAGTGTCTTTTCAAAACAGATCATATGCTGGGGTATGTTCAAGTGAATCGGATTGCGCTTGTGCTTTAAAAAACAAAGCCAACCCGAGCCCATCGAGTGCTAAAGTGAGCAAGCCTTCAAGTTGGAAAGCGGCACGGTCCTGGACGATTGTAGCGTCGCCGCAAGGGATTTGTCTGCCCAATTTCTGGCAAGCTCACTTGCAGCCAAAACAAGCGCACCAACCCTTGAATATCCAATTCGTCTTGGTTTTGGATGGTTTTGGAATGAGAGGAAACTTTGGTGCATTTTGCTTGGCTGTTCGGACTTTAACTTTTAGCCAACTCATGGGTTTTCCGAATTAAACCACCAAAAGTTATTCACTTTTCGCAGGGGAGCAAGTTTCGCAACCGGGGAAAGACTTTGATTTGAGAAGGTGCTGGAACGAGAGAAGCAATCATTTGCCGATTCTTGCCTGTTCATCCCGCTGATTTCCCGAAGTGCTTTTGCTGGCTGAGGCTTTTGGCAAGAGGCCTGTCACATCCTATCCATGGAGCCAAAGTTGCAGAACGTGATCATGTACAATGCAACCTGGCGCGTGATCTTTGAGACTTTCAGACTGTTCGTAGAGGATAGATAAAATGTGTGTGTGTTTTTATTGGTGACCTTTTTTGGGCGGGGAAACAAAAGAAACAAATGATTTTGCAAGGGTCCCCTAAACAAAGAGATACCCATTGGTTGTATGAACTACCGCCAAAGTTACTTCTGTTGAGTTTAGTATTCGGCGCTTCATTGATATTGTGAAAATGCACAAGATCATGGCAAGCGATAGGGGACTCTCCAGAAAACGATGCCCCTGGAAAACGATGGAAACGCTGGAAAACGATAGGGGACTCTCAAACTAAGTAGCGAAACGGCCGTAAACAAGTAGTTTCGAGCGTGCCTCATATGGTCTGCCTGCGGTAGTCTGAATTGCCATCGCCAGCCCCTGTCCAAAAGGGGTGCCTTCTCTTTTCGGAAGTAGACAGACATGTTTGACACATATATTGCACCTGTAAATTCAGTGTATATATATATATGTATGTCTAGTATGTTTCTTGTTTTTTTATCTGTGCAAATGAGGTGCAAATCAACATAAGAACAACCACATGCATATTGAGCTAGCAAAAGGATCTACACAATTGAAAGGCAAACTGATTGTATATTGTCTGAGAAATAACATAAAGGGCTAGTCGACATATCAACAAACTCCGGTGCCGACCAAACGTTTCATTTTCAGCAAGTTTACAAGCCTATGGTTCCACCCACCAAAGAAACAGTAACAAACAGCTATGTGTTGTTTGAGGTACCCTTTTCGCCTTGGCTTCATGGGAAACCAAATGGAACCCCTGTATTTTGTGGTCCCCCTATTTTGACACATAGGCTTAGACTAATCTCAAGCAGAACGAAAACAGCCCATTGGGCGGCAACGAATTTATTTTCAGCTTGAAATGGAGACAAGGGGTCCCCAAGCGGAAATCTAACCCCAAAGACACCGCGGAAAAATAAAGATGACACCATGCCAATCTAACGACAGATGTGACAACGGGGAAGCAAAACAAGAACAAAACACATTGACACGTATCTAACCGCAGAGATGACACCGGAAGAAACAATGCTAAAACAAACACATTGACACCTTTGTCATAGCCAGTCAGCTGAGGCAACAATCAGCGCCTGTGGCAAGGAGGGGCGGTGGCAAGAAGCGTTGGCCTTGTTTTCGGCCATGCCTCGCGCGATTCGCCCGGACACAAGGATTCTTCCCCAGAATTAGCTCTCCTTTTGGACTTTTTTGCTTTCTTGGGCTTTTCTTTGTTTTCCACTCACCAGGCAAAACCGATAACTTTTTGCTGGGGTCCGATTTTTCCAGTCCAGCCTAGGATATATAGCTCGATCATCAGCGCCTGCGCCAAGGAAGGCCATTGGCAACAGGCCTTAAAGCTGTTTTGGGCCATGCCAGAAGCGACGGTGCAACACAACGTATTTGCCTTCAGTGCAGCCGCTCGGCTTTCGGGCCGATGTGAGCTTCTTCCGGGAATCCAGGGAGTGAGAAGCCCCAAAGTCGGTGATTTTTCCTGACCAAAAGGTGCACCTGCCCACTAATCCGGTCCGAAGTTAAGATTACTTAGTTCCACCGGGTTCAATCATGCCCTCGAAAGGCGATCCGGGCATGTTGCTTTACTGGCACGGCTCGGCGATCTTGGTGGTTGGGCTTGGTCCTTTTGGAATCCAAAGGGGAAAAACGCAACATCTCCACACCAATCCAAGCCAAAAATTAGGCCCCTAGAGATGAACATGGAGCCCAAACCACCACCATTTGTGGAGGAAACTTCTTTTCCCCCCCCCCCCGGGTTCCGTTATTTTATAGGGGAGCAAGTATATATGGTAAATGGTGGCGCAAAATGAAAAGCAGTCTGGTTTTTTGATGTCACAGATTCGGCAGGGATCCCGGGTCGTGAAAAGAACATTTGGGGTCTGTTGGATAAGGGGAAACCAAAATGAAACCACCTGGAGGTTTGTGGGATCTATCAGCCCGTTTTGGAATTGGTGTTTTGACGGGAGAAAGGAACCAGCTGGACCCCAACTCGGAACAAGACTTCCACTTTGGAGGCTTGAGGCTTTGCATGTGTAACCGCCCAAAGGCTGTTGGGTGACGCGGTTGTTGTGTTTCTTCTTCTTTAAAAAGTGCATGTGATGGTTTTTATAGAAACCCCGTGGACGTTTTCTCAACCATGATATGATTCACGTGGAATGCCGCCGGCATCGCTGTGGACCCACGTCGCGTGAATGTGAGGCAATCAGTGCGTGCGAGAAGGGGGCCATGTGGCAAGAGGCATTGCGGCTGTTTCAGGCAGCTGCTCGAACAAGGTTATTGATTTTTAGGTGGGTCTACACTAGGCGAGCGAGTGGAACATTTGTTTCTGTTTAGTCTCGGTTTGTTGTAGACAGATTCTAACATGTGAAGAGCCTGTTTAATGAGGCAGTTTAAGTGAAGCTGGGTTTACCTCTCTCATGGAAGCTGACCGGAGTTTGAACAACTACTTTGCTTTTGGGGAAGCCCCCTCTCCGCGGCCATGCATGGTAAGCGCATGAGGTTGGGTGAATATTCTTGGCATATGTTTAATTTGGGAAGAACATGAGGGACTCATGAACGTTCCATGCTTAAGAGCATGTTTTTATTTCCGTTGTTGGTCTTAAAGGGAACCTATCACTGGACTGTTTTTCTCCTGTGGGCGAACAAGCAAACGGGGGGTGTAAAGTTCCACACACCGAAAGACCCACCATTGTCAGTTGATTCAAGTGAGCGCCTCAGACCCTTGGCCGTTTCAACTTGCTCTACCTAAGCCAATGCAAAGGCTTATGCCCATGTGAGCGAACGTCAATTCGTAGAGCTTCTCCTAGGACCCACAAAAACACTATCCCCGCCCTTTCCCCCCCGCATACACCTCTCCAAACATAGGCGCTTTTTCAGGGCTCTTTAAAAGATACATTTTGCCCATTTGAAACATGTTTTTTTCCACCAAAATAAAAGGAAATCACCATTGACAAGGCAATGTTCAGGTGTATAATGTAAGGATCCCTGGATTTTCGTCCTTCTTAGGGGTGTGTCTGGGTGGGGGGGGTCCCCGTCGGGGTGTGATCAAATGTCGCTGCTCTGGAGGCCATGCCGTCTTCGAGCGTGCAGCCCAACGTGTATAGCTTCAATTCCTCCATTAGCGCCTGCGAGAAGGGTCTTCAGTGGCAGCAGGCAGAACTCCAAATTGGGGTGCCAAGTGGAACCTGTGGGTATGTGTCTTTTTTAGGGAACCCCCTCAAAAATGGTGGCTTTAGTGCTGGTTTCCTTGTAACAAAGGTGGTACCCTCAACAAAAAGAAGGCAGCCATGCATGTTTTGTTGTTTTTGTGCGTCGTCTTGTTTTGGCAGGAATGTGCGTTTTCGACGCCAGCTTTAGTATGTGCTTCAAGTTGATTGTTCTCCTTTAGATGCGGTGATGTAGGAGACTTGGTCATGTTTTGCTCCCGAACTAAGCCTCGGAAGAAACCGGGTACCAAGATTCTTAGGGAGTTGGACTAGTAAGCGTCGTTGGCCAAAGGATTTGGGACTTTTGTGGCCAATCCACTTGATCAGACAACCGACCCTGACAGGCTCTGAGCTTGTTCTGGTCCATGTTTGAGGCCAAGGTCCTTCCGGACAAGGTCAGCCACAGTGCAAGCATCAGCGCCCTCAACAAGGGTGGCCAATGGCGCCTTGCATTAGACCTGTTTCGGGAGATACGAAAGAACAGCCGCCCTGACAAGTTCATCTACAGTGCCGCAGTTGCGCAGTGGCACTTCTTTTTTTTTCTGGAGCTGAGGGTTTCCGTCGAACCGAACACCAACAAGAAAGCGGCGCGGTTTTCTTTTTCCCACTGAGCTGAGGTGCAACGATTAGCGCCTGCAGGCTGGGGTTTCTGTAACGGCAGACATGTTTGGTTGTGCTCCAATTGGGGTGCCCGCTATTCGCAGGGTTTCTTGATGCCCTTGTTCACAAGCTCCTGTAAAAGACGAGCTTTGAGGCCAAACTTGCGGTGGTCCACACAAATGGTAAAGGTGTTCCCTCAAGGTGTTCCAAGCCCGCATGTAATGTCAGGGGCGGCCAGTGGCAGCAGGCCTTGGGGCTGCTACAGGAGATGATTCACTCGAAAGTGCAGGCCAACGTGATCAGTTTTAGTGCAGCCATCAGCGCCTGTGACAAGGGCGAGCAGTGGCATCAGGCGTTGGATCTCTTCAGCACGATGCTTCGATTGCAAGTCCACCCAGATACTCAGTTGTTCAGTGGCACCCTTTTTCCTTTTTTTTATTTTCTGGTGGCTGCCCCACTAAAAAAGGTCCAAGCCCCAAAAAGGGTTCCCTTTTTCCAGGGTCACTGAAGAACTGAGTCACAATCAAAACCCGGGTAAATGAAGGCTAGTAGGGGGCAATCCCAGCCATAAATGGTTGCGGCCGCCTTTTCAATTCCTTGCATGGTTCTGTGTTCACCATTTTTGTACCAGGTTTTGATGATGACTCAACTGAGGATAAGATCAGCTTCAGTGCGAGCATCAGTGCCTGTGCCAAGGGTGGCCAGTGGCAGCAGGCCTGCGCGCTGTTGAGGATGATGTCTCAGGCAAAGGCGCAAGCGAACCTTGACAGTTGATTTGGATCATTAGACTCTACTTGGCAAAGCAAGGGGTCCGTACTACACCCACAAGAAGTGATTCACTTGTCTTCCATTTGCTTAAGAGCATTTGTCCATTTCCCCTGCTGGTTTTAAAGGGAATCCGTCACTACTGGACATGTTTTTCTTTTTTTTTCGAGTGGACTTAAGCAAACTTTGAAGAGTTTGCAGAGGGGTCGTTACAGCCAAGGAACGTCTTCAGCTTCAGCGCGGCCATCAGCGCATGTGACAAAGCTGGGAAGTGGCAGCACGCTCTCAGCCTTTGGAGGGCCATGAAGCAGTTGCAGGTTCCTTCAGACGCTGAGTTGCGCGAGGCCGTTTGATTTAAACCTGGGGGTCACTTTGCTATGGGGAAGCCAACAGTCAGCTTCCGTCTAGTTCGTGGTTCCTCTCTTTGGTTGCCCAGTGGGTTGCTTCCATTTGTCGTTTTTTTTGGGGGGAAGGGGTCCGATTCCTTTACACTCGACTCAACCAACAAACAAATGGTGCCGATCCTTTTTTCCCATCGAAATCCGCTGGGCATCTCAGCTCTTGTCCGTCCATGCTTAGTTTGGGCAGACAAGGAACTTCAGACCTGCTGGCACGGGCTTTCATTCCTTGGCAGGTCAGAAGAGGTTCCCTGTATGTCCAAACTAAACACATCACGGAATCCCACTTTCAGCTGGCAAAGGTGATGTTTAAAGAAAGCCTCGAGGGGGTTATTATGGGTGATTCCTTTTCCATTCTTTTCAACCATCGTTCTTTTCAACATCCAGCTGTTTCCCCTGGGGTTCTGATGGTTTTCTGGAAAGATTCGGATTGGAAAGAATGGAAATGGAAGTGTCCCCTAGAAAACCAATATGAAAATACAGGGCAGCGTGTCAAAGGATCAAATGTGTCTAGTCGTCTCATGCAAGGACGTGGTCAGCTACAGCGCGGCAATCAATGCCTGCGGCACCGGAGCACAATGGCAATTGGCATTGGAGCTCTTTAGAGTTATGTCCCGAAGCCAGCGCAAAGCCTTACCTGGACGGTACCCCGTTTTGTTTCCCATTTTTTTGTTCCTGGTAAACCAAAGTTTTAAACCACCGTTGGTGGGGCTTCCCTACAAAAAGACACCTTTTTTGTTTTGGTTTTACTGCGAAACCCAAGTTTTAAACCACCGTTTTTCAGGGCTTCCGTACAAAAAAGACACCTACCTCTTCTTGACTGCTGTTGGATCTTCAGACTTCATCTCCTGGGAAAATGAATCTGCAAATCACCAGCATTCAATTTGTACCTAGTACCTTTAACCGGACATGGGGGTCCTGGTTTGGACCATTTTCCTTTTAAAGGGACCCCGAACCTCAGGTTCCATGTTAATGGACAGCAGGGTACCTTTCCAAGCTGAGCCACTCTTCGGAATCTGGCGGTTGATCACCAGGTCCGTGATACGTGGACGACCATTGGGGAACCCATCAAACCAGATGATATGTCTGGGAAAAGTGAGCCATGGTCAAAACTGGCCCATGGAATATTGATCAACTGCCAGGCCTTTGGCCTTTACTCACCCGGGTTTTGTGTGTGTTTTTGTTCTTTCCCACCTGGCTTTCTCTTGCCACTGACCTGTCGCGAATCCCTCGATGGCCCTGTTACCGGTGGTTGGATCCGATCCAGGTCTCAGCAGCTTCAGCCCAACGTCTTCAGCTACAACGCCGCAGTATCCGCCTGCGAGAAGGCAGGCCACTGGGAGCAAGCCCTCGCCCTCTTCGCGGCCATGCTGCTGGGCGAAGCCCTCGGTTTTGTTTTTAGATATCTTTCTTGTTTTGGGGACTGGAGGCCAGGAGGCAGGTGTAAAGAACTTGGCGCTTCAACCAGCCATCCGGTTCAACTTTTGGGTGTTGAGTGGTTTTTAGTTGATTTAGACGTAGTTGCCACTAAAAGTTAGACTTTTAGCAGGGGATGTGAGGACAATATATACATATATATATATATAATATTATATATAGATATAGCATGGTTTGTTTGGGGGGATTTGCTTTAACAGACTAAACCGCAAAACGTGCAGCATGAATGCCATGGTTTGTCTTCCCTAAGAATCTTGGCACCTTTCAATAGAACCTTTGAGGTCTAATCCCTCAGCCTTTGAATTGAGATCCCTTTTTCCGCCCTCGTCAATGGGTTGGGTCCCTCTTGGTTCGGGCTAAAGGTTGAAACCGACCGTTATCTATACAAAAAATAAGACTTATTTCAATTGTATTTTCAAATTTATTAAAATAATAATTTTCTAAAGCAAACTAAAATTCAATTTGTCTGTTAATTTGATTTAACATCTTATAATTGTTTTATTGTTATTGGATAATTCATCAAAGGTTTTATTTCGGATTCCATTTTGCTTAGTCAAGTACTATCTACATTTAACCTCCAGTTTGCACTGTCTGCACGGGATTCAGCTCTCCAGGCTGAAGTCAGAGGTTTACCCCGACACCGTGGTGTTCAGTGCAGCCATCAGCGCCTGTGAGAAGAGAGGTCAGTGGATGCAGGCGTTGAATCTTTTTCGCTCCATGCCCTCGGCAGAGGTATTGCCAAATGTGTTTACGTACAACGCATGCATCAGTGCATGCGAAAAGGGAGGGCAGTGGCAGCAGGCAGGGTTTGGACGACAAGACTCGGCTTAAACCATCCTTTGGTCCCAAGGAACATTTTTTGAATGCGGTTTAAGCGATAGTGGGAGCAAGGTGTTTTTGCGCGTGGCAGGCTTTGGATTTATTTGGTTCCATGCCAGCTGCGATTCGCGACGACATCACCTTTGGCGCTGCCATCAGCGCCTGCGGAAAAGAAGGTCGTTGGCAGCACGCCCTCAGCTTGCTCTGGGCCATGCCAGAGGCAACGGTGCAGCACAGCGTCATCAGCTTCAGCACCGCCGCCCAGCTTGCAGTTTGACGGTCAGCTTTCCGGTTTGCTGTTGAGACGTTTGCTTTCAGCATGTCTTGCACCTGCAACTTTTCAGAGCCCATCGCACGGGACTGTCAACTTGTTCGCCGCAACCCAAACAAATCTTCCCCAGAATTAGCTGTTTTGTGCTCTTTTGTGTTTTTGTTTTTTTGGAATTGGTCCCTTTGTTTTCCACTCACCAGGCAAACAATAATATATATATATATATATATATTATATATATATTTGGCTGGGTCCGTTTTTTTCCAGCCTAGAAATGAACTTGTGATCAGAAACCCTCAGAAAGGCGAGGTGAACTCGAGTATGTCCCTGTTGAAGCTGCTAGTTTGGTGGGAAAGAAGTGGAACCTAGCAAGCCGACGGCCGACCCCAAGAAAGAGCCTACAAGAAAGATGTTCTTTTCCCACGATGGGTTAGGTTCCATCTTTACAAAGTCTTTTATTTCGATGCGTCATGGCGGGTATTTCAGAAGGATTTTCCACAGCCACCGGACAAGGGGTATCAACTCTCAACCAAACCACCCCCCGCCCCTCCGATTTGTTTTGTTCGATTCGTTCGTTTGGGTTCCAAGTGAGGCAATCAGCGCCTGCGAGAAGGGAGGTAGGTGGCAAGACGCATTGTGCCTATTTTGGGCAATGCCGACTTTCACCTTGCAGCCCCTCACCTCACTTGGCAAGGCGTAAAAGCCATGAAACACCAATTTGGTTCTTTGGTGGTTGTTGGTTTGTTTTTATTCTTCGTCGTTTTGTCAATCGCTCAAAGATGTCGAGGTGTGTTTGTTTTGGATTATTCCTTGTTTTGTCAAACGCTCAAAGATGTCGAGAAGTGTGCGATTGCTTCATATGTCCCTTATTTTTCGCAAGAAACAAAAGGTGCACTTATTCTGACCGGATAGGTTATCTGAGAACAGGCCATGCTTGTAGGCCACTTTGCTTTAGAACCACTTCTGCGAGCCAAGGGAACGCCTTCCGTGAAACGTGAAAGGGCAGATTTCCACAACCGTGGCGTGGTCAACTGGGTGTGTCTCAACATAGGGGACCCTTTAAAGACCATCCAAAAATCCAAAAGGGGGGCCGCCTTCGAGAACGGGCTTTTGAGCATAGGCCCAACATTTATAGCTACAACGCAACCATCAGCGCCTGCGAGAAGGGCTTTCAGTGGCAGCAGGCCGCGCCCATTTTTCGGGCGATGGTGCAGGCCAAGATCAATCCAGATAGCAGCTTGGTATCCATCGGCCGTTGTGCTCATTCGCCAACAATCCTGCGGTTTAATGGGAAACCACCCCCAGAACACCTCGAAGCAATCCAAGCCAAAGGGAAGCTGAAATCCTGGAAAGCGTTCTTGTTTCGTTCCCTGAACTTCCATTTGCTTCAGATGTTGTTATGTTTTCCCTTGTCGGTTTTAACTTTTTCAGGGGGCTTAAGCAAATGGAAGCGAACCTTTTGCAGGGCCCAAATCGACCAAGGCAGTAGCCATAGCGCAGTGATCACTGCTCACGCTCGAGGCGAAGGGGGGGGCCCTGGCGCGGTTGAACGGGCTGAAGGGGCTGAACGCAGCGTGGTGATTGGCTTTGCCCCGAAACTTCGCCATGTATTTTCCAGTTTTCGGAGGCCTCGAAGTCTGCCAGTTAACTTCTCTCGTGCTTTGGTCCATTCACTTTGAGGTGTTCTCTGAGCTTCACCAAAATCCGCTTGCAAAAATGTGAAGATTGACCAATCTGAGATGGTTCACCATGAAAACCAGTGAATGACGGAAGCTCGGGAGGCGGACTGGCCTTTTTTGTCCCCCATACTCCCAAATCCAACTGTTTCATTGCAATGGAAAATCAGCCAGAGACCTGCTTTTCCAGGGTCCCGGAAGCTCAACGGACTACTTCCCAAGTTCTGTTTGGAATGCTACAATGCTTGGCACGCCTCCAAAAAATAAGATCTCGAATTCTCCGTTGGGCAAGCGATGTATAATCCAAATATCCTCGTCACATGTGCTCAACTGTTTTAAACCAAGAGCAACATCAAGAAGGACCTTTCTTTTGTGGGTGCTTGGAAGACAAAGGGTCAGGTCAATATTGTTTAGATGAAATTTGGTTTCGGGGAAGCAAACATGGGAACAGGGCTGCCCCGGTTCATGGATTGGCTCGGGGAAGACACTTATTGGTTCACTGCTTGGGTTTTTTTTTGGGGCAGCTGAGCCAGTTTGCCATGTTTACCAAGGAATGCAGAAGCAACATGGGCCAACGGCCTGAGCTGCTTGGAGGTTCTGAACTACATGCTTTTGGGGTTTGGACCATTTCAAGAAATAAGAAGTTTGGCAACTTTTGGGGCCATCCACGTGAGTGGAATATTTCCCACAAGCCAGTTGTTGAATGGAGGTCTAGCGTTTTCGGAGTCTTAGGGCTTGAAACTTGTGCCTTTTCCGAAACCGCTGGCTACAAACAAAGGCGGTTTCTGCGTGGTTTAACGGGTGGAATCACACGTGGGTTTCGACATGTGGTTTCGACATGTGGGAAGTTGGCGGTTTGAAAAGAATGCCTCAAAACGATCGTCCTTTTTACGAAGCGTTCAAACTGTCCAGATTGATCTATTTGTCTTTAGCTGGAAGTAACGGTCAAAAGTTCGAAACTTCTTAGGACACCCTAAGAATATCAGGGGTCCCTATATTTCCCTTTTAGGCTGTTTTAAACATCACCTTTTTAGCCCATGAAAGGTGAGTATCCCTTGGTGGGGGTGATGTTTTAAGAAATATGGGGAGCCCTGAATATTGGTTCCTCAAGGCCCCAGTTTTTTCAATAACCATCTCCGTATCCTCCTCCAATGGGCTGGGGCAGGGCATTGGTCTTGGAGTCTTGGGCTTTCGGCGCATGGGCCCCGACCCGCGGAAGCCCGAAGCGACCAATGGATTCGGCGTAACATATCTCACACCCCTCTGATTCCCCACTATAACACAACATATATACCTGGACCCTCAAACTACCCATAAAAATTGGATATCACCCCATAATTTTGGGGGTCAAACCCATTTTTAAGGGAATTTTGAGGGTTCAGGTATATATATATATATATATATATATGCATGCATGCATGGTGCATAGTCAATGGGTTCTAGAATCACCGAGTTTCTATCGGGAACCCCTTGAAATGAGGCTGTTCCCGAGAGTCTTTTCCGGGTGATCTCCTGAACCGGATCTCAGTGACAGGTGAGCAGTGGCAGACAGCTCTGGGCCTCTTTCGGGCCATGCCACAGTCAGAGATTTACCCGGACAAGATCTGCCGCTCGGCTGCGACGTGCTGACGGGTTACCAACCTCTTGCCCACGTACTGTGGATGGACGAAATCCATTTCGCACCACTTTGCGACCATGGGACGCCATTGTTGGTATTTACGTTGGGGAATCGAATCATTCTGTTGGGTTTCTGACCGGTGCTGCCATAGGTGTCCTTTTTGGTTGTTTTGCTAGAAAAATAGATGGCCCTGGTTTACCTGGTGGTTTACTCATCTACAAGGGAATTCCATCTATTTCCCCTAAAAGGACACCTATGGGTGCTGCGTTTTATGGATTTCGCAACTATCCACCGTATCACAGCCCCTCTCAGTCCTCAGGAACCAGATGCAACCCGAAACCAAGCCTGGGCACATGGCCTTTAGCAACTCGACGGGGGGCAACCCTTGCATCCAGACGGTGGATTCCACCGATTCTCGCACTTTTTTTAGCACGACTTTAGGATCGGTGAACCGTTCCAGAGGCAATCCGCATCATCAGTGAACCCTTGATGGTATGTTTCAAGTGGTTTGAACTGGGGTAGCAACCGGTCAGTGTGTTCCTTTAGCTTCCGCACATTTCTAGAGGTGGAATTCTGATTGTTCCCTTATGGGGATCGCATGTCAGACACGCACACGGAAGCTTGCCTTTGCTCAACGAACATCAAGGGAATCCCAGGAAAGGTATTACTCATTTAAGCACCGAGTCAATTCGGGACCCTACCTGATTGACCTTTGGCAGCTGTTCATTGAGCTTAGCGTCCTACCAGTTAACCTTTGGCAGCTTTTCATTGAGCTTGGCGTCCCGAGTCAACCCACCTGGTTGACCTTTGGAAGCTTTTTCAGACATTGACGCACCTTCGGCAGCAAACAACAAGCACTTCCCTGGGGGGTGGCATTGCGATCTCATCCGTTTTAGCCCTGGGTCCCAGAACTCACCCAGAACCATTTGTTGCAGAAGAAAACCAACAGTCTAGGTATATATTTAACAAGAGATCCCCTATTTATTTGGCACTCCTTACTTGGTGATTGGATTGGTTGGAAAAACAGCCCCACCTCTAAACATAACTTCTAGCTTTCCAAAAAGATCACCAACGCCGCAACTTCTGTTTAGCACCCAGGCCCCTCTGTGTGTTCAAGTTATGAATGTTGCCCCCCCAAGGAAAATCAGACAAATGAAGGCCCGAATCGCTGAAAGCTGCTCCCACTCACCCGAAAGCTTTGGGCCTCTCGACCCCGTAGCTTTCAGCTGGGGGGGTCCCCTATGTTGAGCCCAAATCAACATTCATAACTTGAACACACATAGGGGCCTGGATGCTAAACAGAAGTTGCTGCGTTGCTGCTCTTTTAGAATCCAACCAAACCTGCGCTCCTTTGACCTTTTCTTCCATTTCCTTATCAATAGTTTTTCTTTTAATTTTCCCCTGTTGGTTTTAAAGGGTATCCATCACTACTGGAATGTTATTTGTTCCAGGGTTTTTTCCCCAGAATTTGCTTCCCCTTGTCTTTTTTGGTTTTTCTTTTTTTGGCGCCCCTTTGTTTTCCACTCACTGGATTTACCAAATGGAAGTTTTTCCTCAGGCTACAGTGCAGGCATCTCGGCCTGCGCGAAGGGCATCCAGTGGCAGCAAGCCGTGGCTCAGTTCAGTGGCACCCTTTTTCCTTTTTGAACTTTTTTTTTGTTTCTGGTGGCTGCCCTTTCTTCTTAAAATGGTCCAAGCCCCAAAAAGGGTTCCCTTTTTTTCCCAGGGTCACTGCACTGAGGTGGAGCTCTTCGCTGAGATGCCGCAGCTGGAAGTCCTGGCCGACCGAGTCGTCTACAGCGCTACGATCACCGCCGCTTGGGCACGTTTTAGAGATGTCTGACCATCGTTTGTTTGTTCTTTTTGTTTCCTCTTGTTTTTGCTTCTCTCTGTCTTTGTTGTCCAGGGGTGCCCTTGTTTCTCCTTTTTTTGGGTAAGGGTGTCCCTTTAAACTCAGCCAACACAAAAAGGTGGTCTCTTTTTCCCATGGTCACTGGGCATCTAAGATGTTGCTTTTGTATTGGGCGCATGTTGTTTGGGGTTGCTTCTGTTCGTTTGTTATTTGTTTGTGTGTTTGTGTGTGTGTGTGTGCTTGTCTGTTTGTTTGTTTGTTTGTTTGTTTGATTGGTTGTTGCGTTTGTTTGTTGGTTTGGTTGTTTGTTTGTTTGTTTGTTTTGTTTGTTTGGTTGTTTGTTTGTTGTGCTTGATTGAGTGTTTTTGTTTGCTGGTTTTGTTTGTTTGTTTGTTTGTTTGTTTGTTTGTTTGTTTGTCTGGTTTAATGGTTTTTGTTTTTCGTTTGTTTGTTTGTTTGTTTGTTTGTTTGTTTGGTTGGTGGGTGGGTTGGTTTGTTTGGTTGTGATGTGTTGTTTGTTTGCTTTTGTTTTTGTTTGTTTGCTTGTTTGTTTGCTTGTGTGTTTGCTTGTTTGCTTGTTTGTTTGGTTGTGGGTGTGTGTCTGTCTGGCTGTCTGCCTGCCTGCCTGTCTGGCTGTCTGGCTGTCTGTCTGTCTGTCTGTTTGTCTGTTTGTCTGTCTGGCTGGCTGGCTGTCTGTCTTGTTTGCGTGTTTGTCTGTTTGTTTGTTTTGTGTGTTTGTCTTGGTTGCGTGTTTGTTTGTTTGTGTGTGTGTTTGTTTGTTTGTTTGTTTGTTTGTTTGTTTGTTTGTTTGTTTGTTTGTTTGTTTGTTCGTTGTGCTTGCTTGTTTGCTTGTGTGCTTGGTGTTTTTTTTTTCCGGTGAATCCAAAGTTGGCATATTGAATATGTGGAAGGGGTGGTTCCCCAGTTCAGAAGCAATCCTGGATTTGGTTTACCACCTACTGACGAGAGAGAGAATGGCAGGGATCAACAGTCTCTGGTTTTGCCAGTGTTTCCTTGCGGGTTGCCCGGCAAGGACCTTCTGTTGAAGGCGTTGACATCGAGCTGTGCTAAGTAACAAGCCCCCCCCGAGCCCGAGACGTTTTGTTTTTACACGCCCGGAATTCGAAGGTAGCTCAGGGTACACGATTTCCGGACCGGCTTGGGGCACCTAGAAAGGCCGGAAGGGTCATGATGTCATGGACCTCAACGGCATTTTCAGTATAAAGAAGTCGTTTGTCTACCTGGACCCTCAAACGACACATCAAACGTGGTTTCCCTAGGAGCCCAAGACCCTAAATATGAGGGCCTTGAACCCCCAAAGACCTCGTTATTTGAGGTCTTGGGCTCCTAGGGTATTGTCCGAAAATTACGGCTGGTGATGTCGTTTTGGAATGGGCAGTTTGAGGGTCCACTTAGCTGGAAAGCTTTTGTCGAATATCCAACCCCGAGTTGATCGGCACCGTGTCGAACTCAAAGATGCAGGGTACGTCAGGCAAGTGGTTGGTAAGCCTGGTGAAATAACCCACGAAAGCCATGGTTACAAGTCTCTCAGTGGGTCATTTCACCAGGCTTACTAGCCACTAACTACTCTGGGTGTTGATTCCTTTTCCATTCTTTTCAACCATCGCTCTTCTCAAAAACCATCTGTTTCCCCAGGGTTTTGGGTGGTTTTTTGGAAAGAAGGATGCCTGGAAATAATGCAAATGGAAGGTACAGGTACCCCTAGAATCTTTGTCATTCTTTGTCGGATTTTGTCGATTTTCAGTAACACATGTATGCATTTTTGGTTTGGGGGGGTGGGGGGGGGTCAACAAGACCGCCTAGAACTACCAAACCGACCGCTTTCAGCAAACGGCAGACCGCAGGCCTGCGAGTGGGCGCACCAATGGCAGGCGGCGCTGTGCCTCTTCTGGGCCATGTCTCGCGCGACGGTGCAGCCGGATCAGATCTGCAAACTGGCGGCCCATGGCAAACTTTGATTGTTGCTCGAGTTTCCTTGAGTAAAACCTGGGGCAGATCTTGTGGGAGAGACATATATATATATGTATATATATATATATATATATGTATGATCATGTGTGACATACATATTATGTGTATGCATAAATATATATATATATATATGTGACCATGATTCTGCAATAGAATGTCCATGGAGCCTGCCTTTATTTTCAGGAGAGCTTGGTCTGCTCCCAAACTACTTGTTTTTGAAGGTAGACTAAACATCAAACAGAATCAGTCAGATATGTTTGTTGGGTTCCCCGGATGCCTCCAAGAAACCAATAGAGCTGGCGACCAAGAAGGAGCACCTTTCTTGTTGTGATTGGCAGAAGTGGATAGTTAAACCGCCGGCTGGATGAAATGTTGGAGTCTGGATTTTGTGGAAGGCTCCATGGTAGTTGTATATGTGTCGCAGTTTCACGGCATATGTATATATATATATATACGTCCACAAAATCTGCCCATGTTTTGACAAGCTCTCCTGAACCAAAGCAAGCACACCATGATGCAGGTTCATCACTGTACTTGGGGGGTCCAAATGCTAATGTTTTTTGGCATTACAGTAAACATTGCATATAAATTGTCACTTCATTTTGTTGGATGTGCCATGTTCATTTACTTTGCAATTCCATGGTCATTTACGGGGCGTCCAACTTAAAATGGTGCAATGCTTGGTTGCGAACTGTCATGCTCCCTGCTTTGGTTTCCCTTTCCAAGGCCAACCAACCAGGGCGTCTCCCAAAAGAAAGCAGAACACCCGTATAGACCTTTGTGGGCCTGGTAGCACCCCAGGTTGAAGTCAGGACTTGAAATGATTTAGAATCAAAGCAAGGAAGCACAAAAGTGAATTGCTCTGGTGAATCAAATAACCTTTGCGAGTGGACCCCAAATTGTTCGGATTTTGTGCTTGGATGTGAAATGCAACCAGGACTGTATGTTTGGGCGAGGGGTGGAGGGTGGCAAGAGCCTTTCTATGATAAATGGTGCAAGAATACATGGTGCATAGAATCAATGGGTTATAGAATCGCCAAGTTTCCATCGGGCATTTTTGAAGTGAGGCTGTTCCCGAGAGTGTTTTCCAGGTTATCTCCTCAAATGAACCACAATCAAAACCCGGGTAGATGAAGGTTAGTAAGGGCCAATCCCAGCCATAAATAGCTGCGGCTTAGTTCTTTACATGGTTCTGGGTTCACCGTTTTGATACCGGGTTTTGATTGTGGCTCACCTGAACCAACCGCCTAGCATGTTTCGGGACAAATCCCTGCATTCCACTTTTGCCCGCCGGAACATACGCTCCCGACACCGCCTGCAACGTTCGCCCCACACATACATCATGTTCCCAGCGAAGCCCGAAGGCAATAATTGGAGTGAGGCACTGTTGCTATCACTCCTAGGAAGAAAACAAACAGGCAAACAGGCAAACAGGCTGTGACCTCACCCATCATGAAGGTTCCTTTCATATTGTTCTTTTATGTTCAGTCTGTGAATTATTATGACGTGCCCAGATGTGGGTTTGTCCTTTTCTTTAGGCAACCCTCACAAGGGCCGGTTCCCTTTAAAACCAAGTAGCCCCAAAAAGACCTTCAAAAAAGAAACACCCCCATATTCATGGAGCCATTGTATGATTTAGTTGTTTGACTGCGGTGTGCAGGCTTGTCCGCTGCTATGAATGCATGTGAACGCGGTGGCCGGTGGCAGCAGGCCCTGGCTTTGTACAGGGCATTGTAGCCTACAAGCCTTGGTGGCTCCCAGCCATCCCCTTAGCCTTTTAGTTTTTTTAGCTTTTTAGTGGTAGTTTCCATAGCCACTAAAAGGTAGTCTTTTAGCGGGGGATCTGAGGGCAGCCCAGAAACTGGCTCACTGGCTAAAAGAGAATCCATTTAGTTGGCCTTTTGGTTGCCCATGTTGGTAATATCTTGCCCAAAGCGAATCGACCTTTTCACCGTTTGGTTTCCCCCTGTCCACTTTCGGTCATGACCACCTTTTGTGTCCAGCTCGGATAAGAAAAAGCTTCGGCCCTGCAGTGGTTTCCGGGCGCTTTGCTTGCCATTTGGGTATGCTGAAAGTCCTTGTTTGGGATTGAAGGAATTGGAGTTGGCGCCCTTTCCAGTTATTTTCTTCTTTCTTGTATTCTGGGAATTCCGAAAGTATATATTTATATATGAATTAATGCTGAGCAATGATTTCCATTGCTCATTTGAATCCGGCCCAGAGTTTCGTTGTTTCGCGCTCTGCAGACAGCCGAGTGAGAACAAAAATGCAGCTTTTCCGTGATGCGAGGGTTTGGGCTGTTCGTTTCACTTGAAGCGGAGGAACACATCGATGTACAAGCATGCTGACGCAGAGCCATGCTTCTTGTTTGAAGTGACTCTGAATAATTATGGGCGCCCTTCTTGTGGGTCCCTTGTTTGGGAGGGACACCAGGGGCTGGGTACCCCCAGTTGGTTGTCTCCCCATATCCCTGAGCAGTTGCTTCCGTCGGGAGAAAACAGCAGGGCCATTTGCTTTCGGTTACAACTTCTCGCGCCCAAACCGAGAGAAGCAGAACTCAGCAGTAGCTTCGGTGCCCTTTTTGTGGGGTTCCCCTATTTGAGGTGAACCGAAATTGGTTTTCTTCCAAAATGGCGGCTCAGTTTCCTTTTGGTTTCCCTGGAACAAACCACCAAAATCACCAAAGAAGCTGTGTCCTCACAGAAAGACACACAAGGCAGCAACGCACCAATTCTTCGGGATCGATGAGACATATCTCTGCAAATAGGATCTGAAGGGTTTCGCGGCTGGTTTCCGCCGCCTAGCAACTGATTTTGCTTAATGCCTGTTTGCAACTTGTGGCCCCACCTCAGATTTCGACCCGCCAGACTCTTCCAGGGGGGCTCCATGTGTGGCTCAAAAATATGAAGTCCGCCCAAAAAGCAATTGTGAAGCCAGGAGGGGCGGGAAACCCGTGCAGGTAGTTTTTGGTATCATGAACCTTGTTTGGTGGGGAGCCCCATGCTGCCCAAAACCAGGTAGGATCTAAAAGTGTGAGGTTTGGTCAAAATGTTCAGTAGTCTATGGTCCAATTGGGGTTCGGGACATGGGGGGCGCATGTCCACTTGGGAAAGCCAAGTCATGTTGACCTTTGCTCATATGTCAAACCCGTCGGCTTACGTGAAGCCCTTGCGAAACCTCGTGCTTTGTTTCTGCTTGCAAAGGCGATCAAAGTCATGGTGCTCAGCAGAACATGCGAAATGGAATGACCCCAAGAGAAGCCATCCACCTGAACCCTCAACAAAATCCATCTTAAACATGGGTTTGACCCCCAAAATGATGGTTGGTGATCTCCCATTTTTATGGGAATTGTTTGAGGGTTCAGGTGGTTTCTCGGGGAAGCCAAGGGTTCATTCCTTTTCACATTCCCTTCCTGTCGCACCAAGGCTTATGCTTTGGGTCCCATGGTCTTCTCGTTTTCTCACCACGGCTGCAGCTCCGTGACTCTGACTTCCTGAGTTCATGGACTATAACAACTTTTTGGGTTTGGACCATTTTAGTGGTACATATAAAGTTTGGATACTTTTTTTGGGCCATCCACTCAGCCAGTGAGGACTTCTTGCCGGAATTGACGACATAGAATTGGTACCTGGAGTCTCCTTCTGACCCTTAAAAAAGAGGGGACATTACGCAAACCATTGTTGGGTCATGACCCGATTTGTTAGGGGTCAGAAGGAGACTCCAGGTAGACTCATGGTCCCCGCAAGTTTTGCGAAAGTGCCGCCAAGTCCGTCAAACCCCGCGCCAAGGCGAGCACAGGCAGGGGAAGCTTTCTGACGGGAGGCGGCACAGTCGGGTTGAACAAGCCTAAGTGAGGGGGGTACATGTATGTGGGTTGTACACCTAACCTTGATAAGAGTTGTATTGTTGTTTAAGCTGTATTTAGTTATTTCTTACTCTTTTGATTCAGTTTGTTTGGTTATGTGTTTGTTTTAGTTGTGTTTACTTGTGTAATGAATTACATAGATAGTAGTTTGTTAGTTGGCTGGCTGGCTGGCTGGCTGGCTGGCTGGCTGGCTGGCTGGCTGGCTGGGTTGGTTGGTTGGTTGGTTGGTTGGTTTGTTCATTCCTTCCCTCCTTCCTTCATCCATCCATCCATGCATGCATTCATTCATTCCTTCCTTCATTCATTCAGGGTATGAATGTCAGGGGATGAATCGTCCGGCGACGGGGGCCCATTGAATCCTCCAGCGACGGGGCCCATGTATCAGCGCCCTCACAGAGGGCTCAGACTCGGCTCCCCATCCAGGATCCGGATTTCCGGTATGTGGCCTTCCCAAAGCCTGAGTTGAACTTTAAACTTGGGAGGACCATTTGGGTGTGGCTCAAAATTAAACAGGTGTTGGTCCATGTTTCCACAGGGCTCCGTAAAAAGGATCTCCATTTTGCATTTTCAGTTGAAACATGTAAGGTTTTTTCAACACCAAGTTGGAAACCACCATTTACAAGGCAGGCAATGTTCAGGTGTTTTTCATGCAGGGGATCCGTGGTGAGGTATGAGGAACTTTAGTCACTTGGGTTTGGACGTTTGGACCCATTTTCGCGGAACAGTTTGGACTTTTGGTAAGTCGCTCAGGAAGTGAGGTATTCAGTTTGTGTGCGAAAAAGTGGACTGTGAGAGGACCCGATAGAGCGTTCCACAGAGCTTGTCACTTGCATGATTGTTTACTGTTGGTGCGGGCAGACCTCGGTTTTGGCAGGGGTCGTACCATTTGCCTCTTGAGAAGCATCAATCCAATCACATCTTCATGAATGGCCATTTCCGAGCTTTCAACGTGGCTTCCCTTCGAATGGGACTTTTTTGCGCCGGGTTTCCCAAGGGAAGTTGGGGGGGGCTGCTGCCCCACCCCGTTCTTTCCCTTGAAGCCCATTGACCCCTCCGAGCCTTGAAACCCAGAAGCCCATCAGCACTGGCTCAAGCCCTAAAAGTCAGGGCAAAGACTTTCCAGCATTTTGTGCCAAGTCCTTTCCCAAATCCGAAGCGACGGAGAGATTCCGTGACGCCATCGACGACTTTTCGGCGCCTTCGATTTATTTTTCGAGTTCCTTCGATTTGGTGACAGCCATGGCCGTGGCGATGCGACTTCTGCTTTTAGGATTGGCCGGCCTCGCCCAGCGCGGTTCTCGGATTGCCCAAAAAAAGAGAGACAGCCATAGGCATCCGTTTTGGTGGTTTTGGTCGAAAAATAGAGGGCGAATCCTGGTTTACCTGGTGGTTTAATCATCTACCAGGGAAATCCATCTATTTGCCCTAAAAGGACACCTATGGACACAACGAGATCCAGCCATTGGGTGTGGCTGAAAATCAAAGAGCCAGGGCAAACCGCAGGTTTTAGTCTTTGGTTCCATTTACCAGGGCAAGCCATTTTGGTACATGTTTTGGAGCCATAGCCAAATTGAGAGACAGATCACAGCGAGCAAATTGCAGTTGCCCGGTGCTGTGGAAAGTGATACCAACGGAATCATTCCCCTTGAAAGTGGCAAGCGTTGAGATGTGAGTAACATGGGTATCCCAAGGATGACTATCCACAACCACTCTAGCAGTACCTTCCATTTCCATTCTTTCCCGGGATCCGGATCTTTCTAGAAAACCTCCGCACACCCAGGGAAACCGGCCAGTTTTTGGAAAGAACCATGGTTGAAAAGAATGGGGAATCAACCCCTAGAACCATACCCAGCTTTCTCCTCGGGTACTTCCACCCAGCAGGCCGACCCTGGTCGGTGCCTCCGGAAATGGTTGTGGCGGTGTGGACCTTTCGAGAAATCAACCAGTCGGTCCAAATTGGGCAGAGGAAACATCAACCAACTGCCCTAACAATCAGAAGGACCTACATTGAGGGACAGATCACTGGAAGGCTGAGAGATTGGACCTGAAAAAGGCCCCATTCAGAAGGTGCCAAGATTCTTAGGGAAGCTTGGGATCATTCGGGAGACTAGGAAAGGCATAGTGCATTCTGGGCTTTCCTTGGAGGAGACTATGGGAAGCAAATGAGCATTGTGTACATTACTTCGGCTCAACTTGACCAAGAGTCACGGCACATGACACAAGGAGTTGGACCCCTTTTACGATTTTTGGATTTCTTGGGCTCAGGGCATAACATATCGCTTGCTTTCATCGAGGGTACCCTGTTTAGGCTTGTTTCAAGCAGAGATCAAAGGGACAACTCCCATGAATTGGTCCTCCAATTGAAGACAACCCCAAGTGGACCAGCGGTGACACATCAACGTATTGGTTAGGTATTGGTCTTTAGCACACAGCCCATTGTTTTGCCCCCTGTGTTCGTGTAAGGGACACGGCCATTGTGGGGCTGTTTTTGTGGGTACCCTTTGGGTTGAAGGAAAACCAAAAAAGAACCAAGGGCAAGACCACCATGTCCCTCAAAAAGGCCCCATGGAGGGACCCAGATTAGGGTAGCCAAGTTGTTGTGCGCCGATCTCGGGAAGTGAGAAACCGGGCGCTGAAATGGATGGAGTCCGCAAGGGGTTGGTTGGTTTCTCACCCTCATTGGACCATTCTCCCCGCCCCCCAAGGGACTCCATAAGGATGGCTTTAGATACGTAACACAATGACCTCGGTTCTTGCATTGTTGTCCTTGAAAAAAACAACAAAAAACAGGTATTGCAATGGAGCGACCCCAAATGTCCCTTCCAAATGGACTATTGAACATGCAAGCAGTTTTGACGTATAGCTACAAGGGCAAAGGCAATCATCTCCAGGGTATTCGCATTTCAGCCTTTGGCAAGCTGCATAATTGCTCA